TTCAGCCTCAGCATTTTAACAGCTCTCTGCCGGTGAATTCTGCTGGACAGCCATGAACAGAAGCAATCTTATCTAGATCTGGAGGGTGGGTCACATTTACCTATCTATTTACACATCTATGAAGTCACTCTGTCCCTGCACAGTGCCTGGAACTCAGCACCAATATATAAGTGAATGAAGAAATCCATATTTTTTATCATAAAACCACAACACTACAAGGCTCCTCAAGCCCATTTAGTCTACAGGCCCCAGGACCACACTTCACACAGGGAGAGGCCAAGGTCCCCGAGGGGAACGGTACGCCCTGAAGTTCACCCAGCAAAGAACCCAGGCTGGAATGCCACGTGGCCAGGAAGCCAAGCTCCCCCCCACACACACACACACACACTATGTGGCTCACCTTGGATCCCTTCTGGGTCTCTATAGACCTTTTCCTGTGTCAAGAGAGGGGCACACAGACTGCCATGCCCCAGGCTGTGAAGCACGGTCCTCTCCCCATAGCCAAACTCTGCTTTGTGCTGGGCCTGTGTTCCAGAAATGGGTCTGGGAGTAAAGTGAATATCGGCAAATTAAGTCCAGTTCACTCAAGAAATACTGGTTGATCATCTGCCCTGTGCCCGGAACTGTTCCTGTGCCCACGTGTGGGACGTGGTAGTCTAGGAGGGCAGCCTCCCGGGGCTCCTCCTAAAATCAGGAGGGTCCATTCCCCTTCCCCCTGCTCCTGGGCTGGCCCTCTGACTTGCTCTGACCAACAGAATGCAGCAGAAGTGAGCTGTGCCCATCCAGGACTAGCTGGCAGTCTTTGGTTTGGGTCTCTTGGAGCCAGAGTACCATGTAAGAAGTCCAACTAGCCTGCCCAGAAAGCAGCCCAGCCAGCGCCTGGCCACTCCAGCACCCTGGGGGAAGCACCGGACACAAACGCGTGTGTTCCAGCTCCAGCCAGGCGCCCAGCTAAGCGCAGCTGAATGACCCCAGCCAACAGCACAGGGAGCAGACCTGCCCACTGAGCCCAGCCACCCAGAGTCATTAGAAATAATAAATTGCTGTTGCCTTAAGCCACTAATTTATGGGGTGGCTGCACCACTAGATAACTGAAACAGGAGGGGAGACAGATAATAAACAATAAGCATAACAAATATTATTTATTATCAATCATGTTATTTATTTTCAGTTATCAGT